TTAAAAAATAAATAAATAACACAATGCATGAGAACAGTTCCCGTATCTCTTTTGATTTGAGCTCCATCAGATCAGGCATGTTACAGGAACATTCTGTTGCCTGTCAGGGACTATTTTTCTAGCAGAAGGACAGCATTTAATGATTTAACTTTAAAAAGTAATATATAATACATATATTTTGCCTTTACTCAAGTAAAAGTAAAATTGTACCCTTAAAGTATAACCTAGCTAATTCATGTAATTTGTCACTTTATACCCCTTATCAATGCATATGTCTCTGAGCTTAAATCTTTGTTACATGGATCTGTTTCTAACCTTCTTATCACTCGAACCCTTCTTGCCACTACCAGCAGCAATGCTGGCGAAGTACTGAATGACTCTCTTGGTGTTTCCAGCACTTCCAGCACCAGATTCTCCACTGTCAACACAAACCAGAGTTAGAAATTTATGAAGAACTAAATTAACAAATTAGGTATCGTTTATTAAGACGTTGTTAACTAAGGATAAAAAACATCAGTCGTCTTTCATATATACATACGATTTGGATTTAGCTTTTCTATGAACTCTGTCAAAACAGCAATTTATAGACAATGAATTATACACTAATACTTCACACTAGTTATTATAAAGTGTATTTTTTTCATTGACTTTTTAACTGTTATTTGTCGAGACTGCTGGGCACCTGACACCTGACAGCATGTACTGGTAGGCGTTGTCAGAGATGGAGAAGATGGGAGGAGGAGCTTCATCTTTCCTCTTTCCTCTGTAGGCCAGGACGACTTCCTGGTTGTACACTGGCAGCCACTTGTAGGGGTTCACAGTGACACAGAAGAGCCCAGAGTAGGTCTGTAAGAGATTGACAGCAGCTTCAGATCTGCTCATATGTGATAAAGTGAATGTGTGAGTGTTTTAAGACTCACGTAGATCATCCAGGCTGCGTAACGCTCTTTGAGGTTAAACAGCACAGCGGGCTCATGCAGGAAGGTGAACATCGCCATGTCCTCAATTTTATCAAACTTTGGCGGGTTCTGAGGATGAACATCAACCTCCTTCACAGTTACTGTCTGTGGGAACATCAGGTTTTTGACAGTCAAAACAGTGTGCATATTATTTTGTCCATGCAATCAAAATTAATCTGTTAATTTGTTCATTTTATATATATATATATATATATATATATATATATGTGTATATATATATATATATATATATATATATATATACTGTAATATATAATTAATTAATGTAATCATCCAGTCCTTATTCTAATCACAACAATGTGAGCTCATTACAGCGGGTCTTTTAAAGTAGAGAAATGTCTTTGAGCAATTGCACTTTGTGTCTTTATTTGAAATCTTGAACTTGCCGCTCCCTTTGAATTCTCACAGGTGACTTTATCACCATCTCATCTAATAATAGATGCTTTAAGATACTCCTCTGCAGCATCAGGAACGAAACATTCTTTCTTCATGTCAGAGGGGCGAGTTTGGGCCTCCAGAGGCTCTTTGTCTGACTTCCTGAGAAATGGAGCAGCAGCTCCAAACTCCTCCATCGCGGCATCCCCATCTTTCACCCTGCACACAAGTGCATACACACAGATTACTATAAGAGATATTATATATAGGAGCCTATTTGGACACATGTTGATAGTTAATGCTATTCTGAACACCTGTGTGAAGAGAGAGCTAACTTCTACATCCACTAAAAATCACCGAAACACCAGCTGATTCAAACACGCTTAGCAAAGATGAGTGAAGAGAAAAGATCCTGCAGCATTTGTGATACACAGATACAGATACTACATCTATTGCAACATTCAGACATTTATAAATGTGTCATAATAATGTGGGACCACTGTATATGGCAATGTGTGGTAGTAACCTCTGAGATTAGTCTGTTGCAGTCAGTGATGTTGCATTGAGTTTTTTCAGGGTCACTTACCTTTGTACTTAACCTCTCCAGACACTGATGGTTTACTGTCCTAGGGACACACAAAAAAACATATATAAAGCAGAATTACTTAACATCAAACATTTGTCTCCTGTCTGCTACTTTATAGTCAATAATGAGCAAAAGTGCATACTGAACTCTCTGTGCCTGAAGGAATTGTTAATAAGACCAGGCTTTCATGACGTCTGAGGCGTCCTTGATGGCTTACCGTTTGATGATACAATAGAAAACCTGTCTGAAGCCATTGACTCTCCACCCCTTTTTATAATGTTAGAGGTCCTCTAAATACGGTTGCAGGAATTTTCTGAAGCATGTTAGTGTCTCAGTTTGGTTAGGATATGAATGGGCTGGGTGTCTGCTGGAGGCAGGGGCACGTTTTTGTTTTTTTGTATAGGATGTGATTTATGCCAGTAAGGAACAGTATACTTTGTCATTTAATGTACTTTCAATTGACTAATTTACCCTTTAAATTACAGTCTTAAATGCAATGTCTTATCTGTTAAATAGGTTTCTTGTAAGGTAAGTGAATTCAGGAGAAGATTTTGGCTGCTGGCACAAATGTTTCTGCTCACTGCAAAAGAAATGATTTTCTTACTTAGGATTTCTGTCTTGTTTTCCATTACAAATATCTAAACATTCTTAAATCAAGATACATTTACTTGAGACGCATAATGACATAAGATATTAGGTTGAGTTTTTGCTTAAAATTAGAAAAAAATATCTGCCAGTGGGGCAAGAGAAAAAAAATATTGTTTTCCCTTTGAATTAAGTTTTTTTTTTACTCCACTGGCAGACATTTTTTCTTGTTTCAAGGAAAAATGTTCATATAATTTTTCAGAAAACACACTGTCAATTTGCTTCTCAAGTAAATGTATCTTGATTCAAGAATGTTTAGATATTTACACTTAGAAAACGACAAAAATACTACGAAAATCATTTTTGCAGCGATGTATTTTACAATTGCGCCTATGAACTAGTCGTTAATGTGAATTTTGTGGATTAAAATGTCTGCTAAACTAAAAAAATAGTGGTTTTTACATCAGTTGGCAGGTGTTTGCTCAAAAAAGAATGCATCTCATTGTTTGCATCAACTGATCTGTACCTTGCTCAAGGACAAGCCAAGTGTCATTTCACTCTGTCCATCATAGATGCTTTTTATCCGCTCGAGCGCCCGCAGCTGAATCTGTAAGGGCAAGGTCAGTTTCCAGCTGGTGCAGTCGCTTCACTCAGGCCTCATTGCTGACACACCATTGTTCCTTTGCCTTCACACTTGAGGACAAAGATAACCTGTGAAATTCTTGTTGGGTGCTTCTAATTGATTGAGAAGAACAGCTTGCGTGATCTCTGCTACTAGCATCAATTTATGTATGTCTACATAAATGGACACGGCAGGCCGATGTCATTGCCTGAGTAAATTAATGTATACACAACATCTTCTCAATGACAGGAGCAGTGTCTAATTTGTCCAGTTTGGCAGACAATTTTTAGCTTTTTTGATATCAGCAGAAGTTACTAGAACATAGGTCATTCAACTAGACACCATCAATCAATCATACAGGTGCATTATTTTCACACTGAATTTTTGGGCGTCCAGTTGCACAGTGTTGACCGCTGAGTTCAGATATGCAGATATGCCTCTGCATAAAGTGCATCTTCAGTCAAATTTCACTACACAGCATCCAACACCAAACACCTCTGTTCACTCCTAATTGCTTAAATGGATAGTTCAACCAAAAATAAAAATTCTGCGATCACTTACCCTCATTTCGTTCCAATCTGTATACATTTCGTTCCTCTGTGGAAAATAAAAGAACATATTTAGAAGAACAACACTGGATCCCATTTACCTTCATTGTATGGACAAAAACACAGGGACGTTTTTAAAATACATTTAAAGTGAAAAAAGGAAATCATTTAAGTTTGAAACTTGAGAGGGTGAGAATTATCATTTTTAGTGAACAATCTACTGAATTTGAGATACCGATATTCTGATGCAGTCACTTCATGCTAATTGTGCTATTTTCATTTTCATATTTTGAACCTAAAACTACTGAACTCTATCATCAGCTCTTTGAAGACATGTATACAACAGCTACGTGCACTACGCACCATCAACTTTCGTTGTTTGCACTGAAACATATGGAGGTCTGTGGCAGACTATCAGTCATCCTCTTACCACTGTCTTGTTTGTTCCACATTGTTTCCTTCCCATTGTCCTTGAGTACAAAGATAACCCTGTGAAATTCCTACAGAGCCTCTGACGAAATGGGAGCATCTGGTTTGCAAAGGTCTCCAAGCGCATAAATAAACGTCAAGTGGTACATGTTGGCACCCTTGCAAGCCATATACATACTACTTAAGTTACATGGCCAACTGAGGCAAAACGACGCCGGTCACAAGACAAGTGTTTATTATTAACCAACAAGCAGCATTGTATTGAGTTAAAGTTGAAAGACCGAAACAGAAGAAGTAGTCATTGTTTGTTTTCTTGGCATAACCATTTGTTCGGTTTGCATAGTGGAAAATTGGTAACAATTTATTTTACATTCGTGTTTCGCATGTACATACGTAATTACAATAACTTGGTAACCCTGAACCTATCCCTAAGCCTAACCCATGTAGTTAGCTTACATTATGCAGTACTTACTTAGGTAAGTACACTGTAAGTAAAGGTCATTGCATGTACTATAAAATAAAGTGCAACCAAAAAATGAGTTCATTAAGCAAATGAACAAAGATCAATTCATATAAAATATGATATTCATCTGTTATTCTCGTTACTGGATGTCTGAAGGGGTCAACTGGCTGTTAAGACCATTTGTTAACCAAAAGGATGAGAGGTGAAAGTTTAAGATGCTGCTAGATGTCTTTTAAATCACAAGGGTCTTCTCACAGTCTTGTGAGATGTCAAGCCAGCAATTATTCTCCTGACTTACGGCAATATGTCTCAAGTACATTCTGCTGTGGTTTAAGGTTGCAGGATGGTTGGTTCCTCTGTGAACCTTTGAGGAGCTCCTCCCTATATTCAGACTCCACCTCCAGCACTGTTCCTCACCTTCAACACTAAGGTTTACCCGCATACACTGTTCATACAGAGTTCAGCCTGGCAAGCACCGGCTCTTCGTCAAAGATCCACTGTTTAATTTAGAAGTTTTCAATTGGATTTGTTGAATATATTAATCGTTTGATTTGTTTTGCAGGTCTCAAGCCGTATGCACTCGACAGAAAGGAGGACACTTGATGCAGGTGAGACAGATGAAATAAAGAAATTCTGTAGTATTATCATTAAAAACATTTTAGTTATTTTTTTTTATCTTGAACATTTACTGTAGATGTTTTGAGCATTATCTCTTTAATCACTTTCAGTGTGGAAGACGTTTAGAGGACACACTTTGGTCCATCAGAGATGCACCCTTCATATTTGGTAGACACCATGACTGCAACGATCTACCAAAGAAAGTCTTGGGTTTCATTCATGCAAGAAATAATAAATAATGTGGTAGGTGCTTTTTTCATTCTAGAAGAAAATATAGCAAATGTTAAACTATATTCTGTAAGACAATATACATATATTGTCAGTCGGGTAAAGCAGCATTTGTCATAAATTATGCAAGCACAGGGTTTCTACGCAGTTTGGAAAAGTGTGGAATTTGATTGAGTAATTTCCAGGTCTGGAAACGTATGGAAAAAAGAAAGCAGTGTATGGAAAAATATTTGCATTTCCAGACTTTTTGCCCCTATTTAGTTTTCTATAATAGAAAATTAAACGGATAGTTCACCTTCAGTTGCTCGTCCCCATTGACTTGTATAGTGTTTTTTTTTCCATACTATGGAAGTCAATCGGGACCAGCAACTTAAAGTGAACTCAAACAGATGAATTCAAGGTGCACTTTTTCATTCATCAAAAATGCAGGTTATAAGCGTTTTGGGTTTCTTCTCACGATATTCTTTGAACCATATTACAAAGCCTCTAAAAGGATCTTTGCAAAAATAAAAAATATGCTGACTTATTATGCCACAGAGTATGTGTTAACCCTCTGGGGTCCGGTGAGTGTACACAAATAAAAGTAGACCCTTTACAGATTGAAATGCTGTATTACTCTTATATGTACGATCAAGTATGAAGGAGCATTTTAGTTCTTTTTGCTGTCAACATTCAAATCTGCAAAAAGTTCCACCGCCGGAACTGTCGACCCCAGGAGGTTAAAGCAGACTTAAAGGGATAGTTCACCCAAAAATGAAAATGTGATGTTTATCTGCTTACCCCCAGGGCATCCAAGACTTTGTTTCTTCAGTAGAACACAAACGGAGATTTTTAACTCAAACCGTTGCAGTCTGTCAGTTGTATAATGTAAGTGGATGGGAATCACAGCTTTGAGTCAAAAAAACATACACAAACCAAACCAAATTAAACCCTGCGGCTCGTGACGATACACTGATGTTTAAAGACACAAAACGATCGGTCTGTGCAAGAAACTGAACAGTATATCGTTTTTTACCTCTGATTTTCACCATCTTCTTCTTCAGCCTGCGCGTGAGGCGTCTTCATCTTCTTTTGGAGTTTTATGGCGGTTGGCAAACAAAGATAGGTGCATTCCCGCCACCTACTGGGCTGGAGTGTGGACCATTGATGGAATAGGAAGAACTAAATAAAAAAAGAAAAATAATAAAATTAAATAAAAAAATTAAACCCTTCTAAATCCTGTTAAACAGTCTTCTTCTTCTTGCTTTACGGCGGATCGCAGACTTATAAGTGCATTACCACCACCTATCTCTCAAATGGACCATTGACTCTCTATCTACAATCTCAATTAGGAGTGTCAATGGTCCATTTGAGAGATAGGTGGCGGTAATGCACTTATAAGTCTGCGATCCGCCGTAAAGCAAGACGAAGAAGAAGACACCTCACACGCAGACTGAAGAAGAAGACGCGAACGCGCTCAGGACAGTTCAGACATTGCTGTGAATATCGGAGGTAAAAAACGATATAAATACTGTTCAGTTTCTTGCACAGACTGATCGTTTTGTGTCTTTTCACATCAATGTATCATCACGAGCCGCAGGGTTTAATTTGGTTTTGTTTCTGTATATTTTATGACTCTCAAAGCCGTGATTGCCATCCACTGACATTATAGGACTGACAGACTGCAACGGTTTGAGTTAAAAATCTCAGTTTGTGTTCTACTGAAGAAACAAAGTAACCTACATCTTGGATGCCCTCGGGGTAAGCAGATTTTTTGGGTGAACTATCCCTTTAAGGCCTTGAAATATGATGTACTGCCCTAAAGAAAGCCTAATTTTGAACACGTTTTTACATTACCGGTCTTTTTTATAGAACCTTGAACTTGGCAAATAGGACAATTCACACAGCTGTATTGTGCCATCAGCCCATTTCATGTCATTGTTTCTCCTCTGCCACAGAGGATGCATTAAATTGGACATTAGGACTTATATTCGAGGTACTATCCTAAGGAAAGCCCAATTTTCTTTATTTTTTTCACTCATTTTCTTCATATTAAGATGGCAGTGACGCACAAAGGAAATGGGTTATAGTATATATAAAACTAGACATTGTAATGCGTAAGCACACAAAAAAAAATCCCATGCGCATGTCAATAGTTTCTCAAAGGCACAAAAACGTTTCTTGTGTGTGTGCAAAAGTCTGTTTTTAGGGGCTCTATAGGTTGTCACTTCTAGAAAATAAATAAATAAACCCCTGAGAAAATAAAAATATTTGTATACATACAGATGTAAAGATGACTGTACTATATACCAAATATAAATTTGAAAAATAAATGTTAAATATGCTCTGGAAATCTACTGAGAGGTTTGGAAATTTGAGTCTGGAAAAGTGTGGGATTTTAAGATGGAAAATGTGTAGGAACCCTGCTAGCAACTTTTCTAATCAATATGAAACCCATGACATTTTACTTATAAAAGCTTATAAGTTTTACCACCATAATGAGTTAGAAATTAACTTCAGTAAATTCATCATATGCAATGAATTGGAAAAGTAGTGCAAATTTCATGCACTACAAACATTCAGTTTCTTATTAGGTACAATTTTAAATTGGAATTTCAGGGAAAAAAGAAGATAAAAAAAAGTGTATATAAATTATATTTACATGTATATAATGTTATTTAGATTGGAGCGATGGCCAATTTTTCAGATTTACTAAGTTACTGTATTGTTGGTTGCTAGCATTTCTACATTACTGCAGTATTTAACAGGAGGTTGAGCATGTGAATTGATCTGTCTGTATTCCCATTGGTAATCACTACAGCACTCTCATTGTATTTTTTCATAAAGTTGAACTTAGAGTTGACCACCAATAATCTCTGGTGCTTATGGTGCATCAAATTGCATATTCCCAATTAAAATGGATCTGGTCATTTGAAAAATTTGCAAAGATAAACTCATTTAGATCAAAATTTATTTAGAATAATTGAGCAAATGAATGACTAATGCAAAACCAATCAATGTAAATATATGCACAAATATGTGGTTTACTCTAGGAAGCCTGTACGTTCCTATTAATAGGAAAGTGCCTACCAAATAACTCTTTAAATCATTGTTTTGAAATATGACAGACCACAACAAAAAAAGTTTCATCTGCACACTTTATTCTAAAGAACTACAGGTAATGAAGTCAAGAAGCACGGAGTCAAACCAAACAAGCCTTTCAGAAAGATGCAAGTGAGAGCTTCATTCTTCATCGTGCCCTTTCTGTGAGAGGGAGAGGGAAGAGAAAGAAAAGAGTTTGGAAGGTATATGTTATTTGTTTTAGTTTTTCCAATAAATCAAATCTTAGACTCACTTTGAAGCTACACACAAGGAGACCCATAAAAGACAAAAAAAGCTTTAGGTCTGAAAAGTCTAGAAACTCATATTTACAAAATTCCAAATTACAAAATTTCTCTTACTTTGAATGGTGAAAAGGTTAAGCATTGTTTGTTGCTCCACTGAGTCTTCTTATACTCTAAGATTGTAAGCACACCAAATATTGCGTAAAACTGAGATAACGTACCTTAGATCCTGTGTCCCGACTCTTAGCTCTCAGCTTGTTGACCTGAGATTCAGCAATATCAGCCCTCTCCTCTGCTTCATCCAGCTCATGCTGCAGCTTACGGAACTTGGCCAGATTAGAATTAGCCTGTTCCTCCTGATTAAAACAAAAGGTTGTTGGCAAAGACAATGTACAGAACAGTATATATACAGTAAAGGGATGACGAAATGAACTCACCGCCTCCTCAGCAGCTCTCTTGTAGGACTTGACTTTCAGCTGGAGTTTATCCACAAGGTCTTGAAGGCGAGACAGATTCTTACGGTCTTCCTCAGTCTGTTAATAGACTTTTGATTATTTTTGGTCTGGGTGGTTTGAGGATAGAGAAATCGTATTGAATAGTGAAAGTGACCTGGTAGGTGAGCTCCTTGATGCGTCTCTCATATTTACGAACTCCTTTCACAGACTCGCTCGCCTTTCTCTGTTCTATCTCCACCTCATTTTCCAGCTCTCTCACCTACCCAAACCGAAAATGTATACATTTTTTAGAAATCTATTGATCTCTGAACCCAAATTCTCATAACTAATATTCATCTTCACGAAAGTAAGGCATTTTGAATTAAAAAAACAAAACAATTAAGAACTGAGTTTGATAAACTAACCCTGGCTTCCAGTTTCTGGACCTGCTTCTTGCCTCCCTTCATGGCGATCTGCTCAGCTTCATCCAGACGGTGCTGCACATTCCTGCACTCCTGTACTGCCTCCTCAACCTCAGTCTGAAGCTGAGTATTATCTCCCTCCAGCTTCTTCTTCTGATTCAGCAGACTGGTGTTCTAAACATAGACAATATTGACATTCATATAGTTTCTAGATGATATTGTGAGGGTTTTACTTGTGTTTGTCTAGTACAGATCTGTCATACCTGAGAATGCAGGAGCTGAACTCTCTCACTGACGTCCAGCAGTTCCTGCTCAGCCAGTTTCCTTCCTCTCTCAGTCTGTTCCACCAGGGATCTCAGCTCATCCAGTTCAGCCTGCAGCAGATTGTTGCGTCTCTCCACAATGGCGATGTTCTCTTTGAGATCATCATTACTGCGAAGAGCGTCATCCAGCTGCAGTTGGACATCCTGGAAAAAAACAAGTTTTACAAACGAAAATACTGAAGAATTTTGTTAAATTTTCACTTTTTTTTAAACACTAACATTTTGGTTTAAAACATAATCTAGCATACTTTGAGATGTCCATGAAGACCCTTGAGTTGCTTCTGGGCTTCTGAAGCCTGTCTGTTAGCCTGGCTGAGCTGAATCTCCATCTCATTGAGGTCTCCCTCCATCTTCTTCTTCAGTCTGAGAGCTTCATTCCTGCTGCGAGTCTCTGATTCCAGTGAGCTCTGCAGGGTATCAATCATTCTCTGCTGGTTCCTCTTGGTCTGCTCCATCTCTTCATCTTTCTCAGCCAGCTTACGTTCAATGTCAGCTTTGATCTGGCTGAACTCCAGTTGAGCTCTAAGAATCTTTCCTTCTTCATGCTCCAGGGACCCCTGACAGATCAAAGGACTTAGCCTTTAAAAAGTACTAATAAGTTTGATTTGTTTATTCTTTTCAAGAAGTTCTAGTGCAGTGGTCGCCAACCCGTTGATTGCTATCGACTGGTTGAGCTCCCAAAAATAACAGAAAAATACATTACATTTCTCCAGTCTGTGTAGTGTATTTTTAATTATACTTATTTTTCTGTTATTTTCGAAAGCTACTGGGACAGTGATAAAGAAAAATACATCATGCCTGAGTCCGTAAACAGGATGTTAACAGAGGCCAGACACGCTGAAGACGGACGCAAAGAGAAGAAAATACTGTAGCAGGCAGAGCAAACTCGCTGCTCAAAATACAGGAAGAAAATATAAATATTGAATTGGGGGTGAGTGGTTATATGAATATATCACTGAAAGGAACTGACTGTCTTCAGAAAAGTTTTGATTGCAAATGCAATTGCATTTTCTTCTCCTCTTACCTCCGTATAAAGTAGTACTTATAAGCACAATGCTGCTTTGTTTACAGCGGCAACCAAGGAAACACTGTATCGTTGCTGTTACATAAGCGCCACCTGCTGTCAGAGAGTGAATTTGCATTTCATTCAGCCCATCTGCTGTTTCTGTTTCATGCAGATATGTTTTATGTTGCATAATTTCACAAAGATAAAGTCAGATCGTTCCGTTTTTGCTTTAAATTTTGAAATTATACAATCTAATTAAAATCAAAGCAACTGCTCATGCAACATGTGTGTAGCATCTTTGTTGGATCATGATTAAAATGCAGTGGTTGCCTCTAATTTCAAATGGCTACAGATATTTTTGTTTAAGGCCAGTTTGTTTGTTATAGAGCAAATAAACAATAAATAAGTTTGCTTTAAAAAAATCGGCCAATTTGCTGGTTAAAAACAAAACATCATGAAACATCATGAAACATCATGATCGGTGCATCACTAATTAAAATACTAAATAAAAGGCTTCAAATTGGAAGGACAATCTGGGCTGTCTTTTTCTATCAGTTCTTCAATAGGTAGATCTTGTCTTTCATAAAGGCTGAGGTTAGGGATATTGGGCTTAAAAGGTTGGTGACCATTGTTCTAGCGTATAGCTGGAAAAACTAGACCTTCTACATCTACACATAACACAATTTACCTCAGCTTCCTCCAGAGCTGCTTGAATTTCAGCTTTTTCCTGCTCCAACTGCTTACGAATTTTCTCTAGTTCATGAATGTTCTTTCCACTCTCACCAATTTGTTCAGTGAGATCAGCAATCTCCTCTGTTTTTTAGGGAAGGTAATATAGGTTAATGCATAAAAAGTCAAGAGAAATATTTACATTTTGTGATATGTGAATTCTTAGATGACTAATAAACAAAGGGCACCTTGGAGGTTCTTGTTTTCTCTCTTCATGGTCTCCAAATGATCCAGAGACTCCTCATAAGAGTTCTTCAGTTTGAATAGTTCAGTGCTCAGAGATCTGGCTTCCTTCTGGGAGCTTTCCAGCTCACTCTGAGACTCCTCATATTTCTGCTTCCATTCAGCTAGGACCTGTTTGATAGTTTCAGAGACTTTGATTAGCTACCATTGGAGATTGATGAATACTGAAAGATTATTTATCTATAAGTAAGCGTGTTTTATTCACCTTGTCAAAGTTTCTTTGCTTCTTGTCCAGAGCAGCAGCAGCAGCATTGGATCTCTCCACATCCACCATGAGATCTTCAATCTCATTCTGCAGCCTGTGCTTGGTCTTCTCCAGTGAGGAGCATTTAGCATTGACTGCTTCCACAGCTTCTTCAGCATCTTGCAGACGCTGGGCAAGTTTCTTCCTTCATGAATAACAGAATCAGTCAGATGTTTGTATGGTATGTTACATGGAAAACCCAAGTATTTCTTGTTCATACTTAGCATCCTCCAGCTCCTCAGTCCTCTGGATGGCATCAGTTTCATACTTGGTTCTCCACTGAGCCACCTCAGAGTTTGCCTTGGACAGACTACGCTGCAGCTCAGCTTTGGCTTCCTGCTCCTCCTCATACTGTTCCCTCAGCAGATCAGCATCATGACGAGCAGACTGAACTGCATGAGCCAGGGCATTCTTAGCCTAAAAGATATTTAAAATTAAAATTTTCTGTTATGGAGAATGGCCCATAGCTGTAGCATAAGACTAGTCTCTTTGAGGGGTGTGGGTTTGAATCCTGCTGCTCCTAGAAGAGCTTATTGGGTGACAAGGCAGTGCAGTAATTAAGGTGAATGACTTTGTGGGTAGTAGTAGTTGCAATACCTTGACTTCCTCCTCTAGTTGTCGTTTGAGGTCCTCAATCTGCTGGGTGTAGGACTGCTTGCCTCTTGTTAGCTGAGAGACCAAGGAATCCTTCTCTTCCAGCTGTCTAGAAAGCTCCCCTAAATAGAATTATAACCATTACGTTACAGAAAGTAGTGTGATCTTAGGAATGTGTTAAAAAAAAAAACACAAATAAAGTAATAGCCTATCAGAGTACATACCATTTTCGGTTTGCAACCTAGCTTTTTGCATGGTAAAGTTATTGATGCTGCGTTGTCCTTCTTCGTATTTTGTTCTATATTCTGACATCTGGTCCTCGAGGGTCCTGCACATTTTCTCCAAGTTTGCCTGGATACATATTATATAAATGAATATTAAATACAGAAGAAAGAGCACATGATTCTAAAGAACAGCTGTAGTGAAGACAAGTAAAAATGCTAATGTGGAAACAAGTATTCATCACCTTGGCCTTGGCAATCTGCTCCATGGTGGAGACCACGTCATCCAGTTCCAGTCTGAGTTCACTCTTCTCTTTCTCCAGCTTCTGCTTCACTCTCTGAAGGTTGTCAATCTGCTCTCCCAGATCAGCTACACTGTCGGCATGTTTCTTCCTCAGTGTAGCCGCAGTGGCCTCATGTTGCAGAGTGGCCTCTTCAAGGTCTCGGCGTAGTTTTTGGAACTCAGTTTCACGTTTCTTGTTAATCTCACTCTGGGCAGCAGTGGCTCCACCAGCCTCCTCCAACCTCTCGCTGATCTCCTCCAGTTCTCTGGACAGATCAGCTCTCTGTTTCTCAACTTTGGCACGAGCAGCTCTCTCAGCCTCCAGCTCTTCTTCCAGCTCTTCAATTCGGGCCTGGTAATGTGATCAAAACCAAAGTTAAAGCTAGAATTCCTAATTATGTAACTTTTTTAAAGAATGATACATTTTACCTGCAGCTCCTTCAGTTTCTTCTGGAGTTGGGCTGCCATTGTTAGCTCATCTTCAATCTTGCTGTTGAGCTGGCTGATCTCAAAATCCTTCCTGTGTTGCAGAAAGTATTTGATTGGCACTGTTAATAAGAATTCAGATTGTGAACTGTATTCTTGAATAATTATTTCACCCTCTTTGTAAAACACACTTTTTAATCCTCTCTTCCAGTTGCTGTTTGTCATTTTCCAGGTCCATCACGCTCTCTTGGGTCAACTTTAAGTCTCCCTCGAGCTTCCTCTTTGCCCTCTCCAGGTCCATACGAAGTTTCTTTTCCTGTTCCAAGGAAACCTCAAGCTGGAAGGACAATAGTATTTAGCATTTTTGTTTCATGGTTCATTTACTTTAGAAGTATCAACAAACTACTCACATCATCCACTTGTTGCTCCAGCTTGGCTTTGGCTTTGGTGAGAGTGTTGACTTTGTCTTCCTCACTCTGGAGGTCATCCAGCGTTTGCTGATGGGCCTCCTGAAGAGCTTTCTTCTCCTTTGTCAGCTTAGCAATGATCTCATCCAAAGCTGCCATCTCTTCTGTCAGGTTTTTAACCTACATAATTGTGTAATTGTATCAGGAGACTCCTAGCAAACCAATCTTACATCTCAGACATTTTCAGTGTTGAAAACTGACCTTGTTCTCAGTGGCATGTTTCTCTTTCTCCACTTTGGCCAGAGTGAGTTCAAGATCATCAATGTCCTTCTTGAGCTCAGAACATTCATCCTCCAGCTTTCGTTTCTTGGCAGTCAGCTCAGCATTCATTTCTTCTTCATCCTCCAGTCTCTCAGTCAGCTCTTTGACTTTGGCCTCAAGCTGGATCTTGTTCTTGATCAGACCCTCACATCTCTCCTCAGCATCGCAAAGATTATCTTGCTCCTGTTTACAGATACAGAAAATTATTTATATTCATACTAATGTCTTTGTAACTATACTTTTTAATTACACATTTTATTCATTGATTCATGAAATCATGAACTTACAGCTTGGACTTGAAGTTGTAGGTCGTTCTTCTCTTGGAGAAGAGAAACCATCTTTTCCTCAAGCTCCTTTTTGCGAGCTTCAGATTTGGCATAAGCCTCCTTTAACTTCAGGAATTCTTCCTTCATGTTGGCCATCTCTTTCTCTGCTTCAGCAGATCTCAGCAGCGGTTTGATCTTGAAGTAGAGCTTCATCCAGGGCCAATTCTTGACACCCATGAAGGCACGTACGTTCCACTGGATCACAAGCAAGGCATCTCTGCCAAATAAAACAGTTTCTGTTCCTTTTGTCTCTTTCTATTGTGTATTGAAAGATTTAGATGCCCACCCAGTTACCTTCGTTCAACAAGCTTCTGGAACTCAATTCTTGAGAGAAGACCACGTGATCTAGCTTGAAGATTGGTGATGATGAGAGCAAGACGCTCGTCTCTCATTTCTTCAAGGGTACCCAGCAGACCAGCCTTGAAGAACACCTTTAAAAAGATGTTATGTCAGTGACCTATGATTAACACATAGACAGAACAGGCAGTCTGTCAAAGTCATTAGTGCACAAGCAAACAGATAAATGCTGAAATTGCCCTAGAGCCATGGTACGCTTTTCACGTATGTCAGCCTTTTAGTTCCTTACTTTTACAGCAGTTGTCTCAGCACATTAAACTGGGATAGACGAACATATTATAAAACTGAAAAATAGGGGTTGCACCGACTAATTAACTAGTTGACTTCAATGCTCTGCCATGACGCTTTAAGCTTGACGTCGACTAGTCGCTGGTCCTATAGAGGGCGCAACAGGATTAGAAATCTTGGAAGGACTTCCACATTTACGCTCCGTTTCCAAACAGTTCAAATGACAAATAAATGCATACTCTGAAAGCGCTCCACAAGACATGTGTGATTATAGTACTGGATGATCGAAATTGAACAGGAGAATGCACGTTTTAAACAGCTTATTGTACATGTTAGTTAATCGCCGTTTTAATCTAATGTGCTGCTGCACTGTAACACACATACATAGGCTACAGACAGTAGCTCGTACATCTCATTCAGAACGGAAATGTACTGTCAACACTGTTCTGTGATTTCTCAGTAAAATAGCTTAGAAACTGAAAATTTCAAACATATATTTCTTAATAACTAAATCCCACAGCTTCACTACTACAGTCGTGGCCAAAAGTTTTGGCAGTGGCATAAATTTTGTGTTTTGCAAAGTTTGCTGCTTAAGCTGTTGTGGTGTTCATTCACATCGTTTCTAGATTATTGTGTAGAGTGATCAGATGCATTTTAAATAATTGCTAAAAGCTTCATTGGCCAAAAAATGAAC